AATTTATTAGTGAGCTCTTACATTGTACTCATTATTTTGTCACATTGAAATGTAAAAAAGGGATCTTTTTACAATTTACTCATTTATTTCGTCACATTGAAAATGTCATTAATAAGGATATTTTTAATTAGATTGACATGTTCATTTCTAACTTGGTTTGGAAGATGTCTATTTTATGTATTATAATAATAATAATAATTATTATTATTATTATGATTGATATTTGATCCGATCTTGTCTAAGACTGAAACCAGTCCGATTAAAAACACCCTAAACGTATGAAGATTTTCTAATTTAGATTAGGAATCTATGTCAAACGTGAAGGAATATCTAAATTGTAGTTGTAAAAATAAAGAAACAAGTAAACATGTTTACTTTTTTGCTGGGCTAAACGTATTCATATATGTATGATATGAATTTCCATTTCCATCCTCATAAAGGTAAGATACTTGATCAGAAGTTTTAAATGTTTTCATATATGAATGTCTAATAGTATATATCAATTTCATTTTTAAGTTAAAAAATCTTGTGGTTATAATTTTCATCATTATCTCAACAATTAAGAAAGAATGGTATGATGATGTAGAAAAATACGAAGTATTAACACAATTGCAAATATAAGTCCGATAACTTTAGTCATTATCACATTGAATTTAGAAAACATTCAAAAAAATTGACTTTAGAAAAATAAAATATTACTCCGTACTTTTTAGGAAATGGAACACTATTATTACTTTATTTATAAAATAACTTTGAAGAACAAAATTGATAGGAACTTGGATGATTTATTTGTTAGGTGCGCAAAACACGGATAATTCACTTCTCAATAAAATGTAATACAAATAAAAGTATAAAAATAATTAAATTAAATAAAGTCTATGTGCACGGATGACTATTTATTGTTGTGGTTGCAATAATTGCTTATTTTAATAACAATCCATATTACTACGGAGTAAGTAGTAGATTCTGAAAAAGTTACCAAATAAGGTGGATTCTATCATACGATCTTTTGTTTCCATATCAATTTGCAATAAAAATAGAATGTAATAAAAATAATAAAATGTATAAATAGTAATTAAATAATTGTAATATATGATGACATGGCAGGATTATGTGGCGTGCCGTATGCTCTTAAAAAATTCCTCTTATATATATATATATATTGATTATAAAGATAGCCTTTTCTCTTTTGTTTTCTTTTCTTTGTTTCCATGCTTTTGGTGCTCGGTCAGTTCTTACGTTTTTCTTGTCTTTCCTTTTCTTCTTTTCTTGCTTTTACTTGTTTACTTCTTTCTTTCTTTTTCCCCCTTTTCCTATAACAATTTTTTACTTTAATTTTTATTCAATTATAAAATATTTTAGTTGTAATGTTTTGTTTTTCTATTTTTTATTTTAAGATAAATATTTATTAGTTTATTAAATATTGTGTGATTACTAAGATTAGTTTAATTTTGTGTTATATTAAAATGAATATAGTGTAAAATAAATGTGCACGAGTAAATATTATAAAAACAACATGATTATGTTTGTAATTCAAGAACGAAGAACGCACACAACTTATGCTCATCTAGTTCTAGTTTTATGCTCATTTTAACATGTTAAATTAATAAATATTTCAAAAGTATCATATTACATTACATTCACAAAAAAGTTCACTATAGACATGTGAGTAGAATTAAGAATTCAGATACTTAATTGCATGCTTTTAATATTAAAAGCATGAAACTCAACGAAAATCTATTGATGCTAAACTAACAAAGTTTACAGTTTCCTATCAATACTCATTTTTTAGTAATGCATGTTCATTTGGTATTGATTTTATGCTCATTTTAAAATGTCATATCAATACATATATATTTCAAATGTACCATATTACATTAGATTCATGTAGAAGTTGATTATATATACGGGAGCACATACCATGATATTTGAATTGCATGCTCCTAATACTCAATAGAGGAGTCATGTGCTCAATTAAAATGTGTTGATGTTAACTAAAAACTTATAATTTTCTTATCAATGCTCATTTTGTAAGTTATGTAAGCTCAAATGGTACTCATTTTACGCTCATTTTTAAAATGTCTTATCAATCCATATTTCAAAAGTACCATATTACATTAGATTCTCATATTGAATTTAGATACTCCACGTATAATTTAATAAGTTTTCACAAATGAAAAAAATAATAAAAAGAAAGTAAATTAGAAGATATGAAAGTATGAAACAGATATCACGATAATCATTGTTAGGCTCCTAATACACAACAATATATATCTGATGCTCATTAAAAGTGAATTAATGCTCATTTAGCAGAAACAACGAATTTCATTTGAATTTGTAAAATGCTATTGACTGTATGGTGCTCACCGTACAACCGGCAATATGATACACACTTCCTATGTCTCGTAACTCGTTTGGCACTGCCTTTCGTTTTCAAGAAATTCTTGTTTTCTTAACGGTAAATAAATGGATGTAAAATATGATTAGTTCAATTAGTGTCTTTCTTAGGATTGAGAAATACAAAAATCATTCATAAGAAGGTTCGACTAACATTTACCAAAAAAAAAAAAAAAAGAAGGTTCGACTAACGTGCAAAACAGATTGACTGGGTCAAGGTCAAAGTCATGAGTCAAGCCCACTGCTTGTCTGCTATCGCTCGTTTGACTCTCAGTGACTCAACCTATGGATATTATTTTAAAAACAATCTTGCAAAGACATTAAGCATTTTTCTATCAATTGAGTTATGCTCACTGGCGCCTATAGAGCGTTCTCTAATGATTTTTTTGGTTTATTACTCCGTATTTTATAACAATAAACCTATTATATTGATAATATATTTAAATACTAAATAATTTATTCTCATCACATCGCTCCCATTTTTTTTTCTTTTTGCTATATAGACTTCAAGACAGTTCTTTCACTGTTTTGACAAATAAGACAATAGTTTAGAAAAAGTGATTTTAATACTTTGTCGAAAGTTATTTTATTGGATAATAGTTCAAGTTGCGTGCCAATAAGATTTGCTATCCTTACTTTTATCTGTTTGTTTCAAACTTCGTCACTTTGTTTAGATGATAAATGTGTAGTTCATAGATTTTGTACAAAATACAAGTAGTTTTTATTTTCTCATTTAGCAACAAATCAATAATAAGTTTTACTTGACAGTTCTATATGATCACGTACTAGATTCAGTAATGGTACCGAAACCAAGACTTCCATTGTTTTAAATAAAACATTGGTGTTTTATTATGCACTAATTTGATTTTCAAATTCATTAATGCAAGATTTCAATTAACAATATAATCATTTATTCATTAGTGAAAATTACAATGGACATTGTGAAAATATACTTTAGAGAAATACAATAAAAAAAAGGATGATACCACGTCTACGAGGCTTCCCAAAATTGTCCGAATAGTTATGTAGCAGGTAGTAAGTTGAGCATTCATCACACTAATGAAAAGAGAGTAATGTTCTATCTTAAATCATTGTTTGGAGTTTAACTCAGACATCTCCTATGTGATCGACACTTTCTTCTTACCAGGTGAGTTACATTTCATGTAATGTGATTTTTTTATACTGAGTATAGAGTAGTAAAAATTTGTTCAAGAGATAAGAGAAATGTGTGAACGTTTAAAAGTCAAAGCATCGCCATTAAAAAATTGATGGAGCATTTAATAATTAAGGAACTCTTCAGTAAAAATCACCTAGTACTACTCCCTCTGTAACATAAAATGTTCTCATTTCAAATATAGGTAGATTAAAAATAGTGAAAGACGATATAAATTATTGAAGGTAAGATCATAAGATGGTGGAATAGTATGATGAAATGAAGGATAAGTCCAAAAAAAGTAATTGTAATAGTGTATTGTATTCAAAATTATTGAGGGTATGATAGGAAGATTTAGAAACATGAAGATTTTTTCGTTACGGAAGGAGTACAATGCAATCTAAATTGGTCGAGTTTAAAAAGGTCTCATAAATTCTGCTAAATTCTACTGGGTATTTTAGTTTGAATAGGCATTGTAGTGTTTGATACAGAGTATTAATTGTATTTTACTCTAGAGTACTGTTTAGCTTGATCTATTTAAATGTGTTGTGATGTTTTAGTTTAGCGTGGTATAATCTAAGCTTTAGATCTAAATATGTTCAATTGACTGGGTCTAACTCCTCAATCAGCAAAATTATTCTGACTATTCCCTCTTTAAACTTATTCAAGGTTAAATGATACTCCGTATCATCAATGGAATAGTATAAGGCACGAGACGAATCTAGGAATCTGAAATGCCATGGACTGAGAAGTAATTATACTAGATTTTAACATTAGCGGAGTGAAGTTTGTATTGAAAATGAAAAAAGAAATTACACTAAAAAGTTGAAACAAAAAATAGTTATGAGCTTCAAGCTAGCATAGCCTGTACATAGATCCCTGATAAGAGGAGTATGATAATGTTTGAATATTCCAATGTATCATATAGATAATGAAAGATGCAGGACCACACAATATCTATCTATTATTAATATTTAATCGATAAAAGCAAAAGAATTTCTGGAATAGTACTCCCACTCAAAAACGTCACCTTCAACAATAATTTCTTTAGCTTACAAAAATTGATATTGATATTTATTTATTAATTTATTTATTAATATATAAAAACAAAAGATTTTTTGGAATAGTACTCCCGCTCAAAAACGTCACCTTCAACCATAATTTCTTTAGCTTACAAAAATAAATCTAAAAGAGTTATCTAATTGAATAAATCATCAATTCCTATTAGTCCAATTAGAGGTGAGAATAGTGATGGAGAATTGGAGATTCGATATCTTCTGTAGTGTTTTTTGGGAAAAATATTTTTCAAAGCTCCGTTTTCGTAGTTCAACTTAAAATATTTATTTTAATGAGTCATGATGACTCCTCTAGGATGGTCCATGATTAATGATGCCGATGCTATTTTTAAAACAAGTACTCCCTTGTGCAATTATCACATTACTGCGTATAATTTACGGGAAACGCAAGGGTCACACTTTACAACCTTGTTATAGGTACCAACTCATTTTTGTGGCTCATAAAAGACCACCTCAATAAATGAATTGTCATACTTTATTCAGGTGCTTTTGTGAGCCACAAAAATAGGGTGTACCAGTTGGGGATCCTTTACGTTTTTCCACAGAGGGGTATTATAAACCGGACGCCCGAACTAGAACAGCGGAAACAGAATCAGATAGACACCTTCAAATTCGCCGCCGCCGCCGTGATATAATTCCCTGCCTCGTTTTTGTCCGGCAATCTTCCCCGACTGATTTTACGGTAGTTCCATCTCCCCTTCACTTATCGACGACTTACACAGCTCTCGATCTTTGATCATTTCCGATCATCTTGATTTTATCTTTCATCTTAAAAAACACTTCTTCACTTATCGGCGCAATTGATGTTACTTGACTTTACCCGCTAAAAATAATTCGGTTTGATACACTTTTTTTTGGAAAACTAATGTCTGACATTTTACACTTTCTTGTATGCCGCATTTTTTTGAAGTTTCATTATCGTTTTTCTTTGATTTGTATATATCAAGAACTCAGAACTCTGCCTATATTAATGGCTAAAATAATTGTTAGTGCGTTTCAGGAATCAGCTAAAAATCTGTTGTATAATCTGTTTACATTAATGGAGGTCATAGGATGCTATCTTATATTTATGCAAAAAAAGTTAATGGTCCTATTATATTAATTTTAATTAGGCTAGTACCTTATCTTTTGAGATTAAAACTTGAAAATTGTTGTTGTTGTGGGCTAATACCTTATCTATCTAATAAGGTATATGACCCAAATGTGTAGAGACCCATGTACTTAATCTAATTAATGATGAGTTGATTATAAATAGAGGGGTTATGGTCCCTAGTTGAACACTCATGTACTTAATCTAATTAGTGATAAGTTGATTAGGGTTAAACATTCTCTATAAATAGAGGGGTTATGGTCCCTAGTTGAACACACTCTTCCGTCTTTCTGTGTCACATTGCTAGAGAGATAATTTCCAAGGATGTGTATCAACTAGAAGATGTTAACCCTAGCCTCTGTCTCCAGAATCTCTAAAGATCATCCCCGGATCTCTAAAGATTTATTCCAACATAACCCACATTTCGTCTGGAACAGAGACTGTTATTATTTATCTGCACAGTTTCTTCACAAATTTTCTTTAACCAAATGCCGATTTTGTATCTAAAGATTCTTCTTTTATTTATTTCTTTACTTACCCTATTCATCCGTTTTTGACAGAACAAACCAGGGCAGAGGATGGACTCTTCTGATGAAATCGACATATCTGATGATATTTTCGGTTTGGATATTAGCGGCTTGACTCATCATGATTTTAATCCAATGCCTGGCACTCTACATATCCTGGTACTATAAAAATATTTTTTACATGGGACAAACATAAGTTTATATTACATTTAGCTGTAAGACTACATACAGGGCATGTTTGGTTCGAGGTGATCGTGTATGAAGGTTGGAATCTGATGCCTGGAATATGAGATACCTACGTTTAGTTCACGAGTCTCAGAAATTTTAGGGAATGTTTCATGCTCAAATAGAGAATAAGGTTATGAGATGTCCCGTAATGTCAAACCCTCCATCCTCTTAGGTTATCTCACATTCCTTCTTAGTTACTCCGTATATTTTTTCTTCCAAGAAACCTGATACCAGAATCCTTAAACTGTATTAGCTCTCTTCTGCAATCCCTTCTACTCAATATTTCTTATTTTCATTCCAAAAGAGTCTTCTGAATCAAGTAAAATCTTATCCCTTTTCCAACTTTTTGTACATGTTCTTGTAGTTTATCTTTAATCCTCTCTTAATTATTTTTTACTTAAACCAAATTATGTACTAATGTTCACTAATTTTTATCATTTGTGCAGTTAAATATACAGTGCTTAAAAATACATCAATAAGTTTGGATTGTAATTATTATTAAGATATATTTCACTTTTTCTTTAATTTTAATCACTTTAATTGCAGGTTGCAATAAGTTTAATGTGTTAAGAGAAAATATTTGAAGGGGCATTGAAGTCATTCACCAAATATGTAATGTAAAATACCACTCAACCAAATAAATTCCAATAAATTAATGTCACAACCCACGAGTTTTAACCAAACACAAAATGGTATAAATTTGGTACATTCTCATCAATCTATCATTCTCAATAATTAAACCAATAATCTATCATTCTCATGATAATCTAACATTCTTTAAACCAAACGGACCCTAACGGATAGAGTACTCCCTCCGTCCCCCTAACTTTGTCCCATTTTACCTTTTTCGTCCGTCCCATTAAGTTTGTCCCATACCATATTTGGCAATATTTGGGTGGTTACAATTCATTCTTACTTTATTCACACTTTATCAACTCAACACCAACCACACAATTCCACTTTTTCTTAAAATTTGTGCCACACTCCTTTGTCCCAAACATTGTGGGACGGAGGGAGTATCATTTTAAAGAATGGTCTGCGTGTTTAATGTTCATTTTTAATCTCAATCAAAATTACACATTTTGGTTTGATTAATAGTCGTGTAAATTGGGGAGTGAGAAGAAGATTTTGAGACATACTCCTTCGGTTCTTAATTAAGTTCCTGGTTTGACTTCACACATATTAAGAAATAAATTTGATTTTACTGTGGAGTGCACTGTTTGGATATTGTTTGGCACTGTTTGGACACTGTTTGACACTATTTTGGTGTAAATCATTTGCCAAATAAGGAAATGTTTGAAGTATGAACTTTAATATGAACCATCTCAAAAAGGAAAGTAGGAATTTAATTACGGGACGGAGGGAATATATAGTTATTACATACGGAGTAAATAATGCAGTAGTATTTAATTCAGTTTCATTTTAATTTATAGCCAATGTAGTATAATCTAGATTCATGTCAGTTCCTGTTCATACTATGTTACTTATTTGAGAGCGAAATTGAACACAAAAGTTGGTTTTAACTTTAAGCAACATGCAAAAGAACATTAAATGGTTCAAGTTTTAAAATCGAGTCCAATGCCGAATAAAGTTGAACACCTAATTACGTTTTAGTGTATCGTTGAGGGACTAATTCGCATGCTTAACTAGATGGATAACACAAACTTAAGGGTAATTCTTGGGGCATATGTTTCATCGCTGTGTACACGCTGTGTAAACCCCACTTTTGCATTTTTTTAAATCAAATTGTCTGTGTACACAGTCAAGGAGTACGCATAAAAAAATGATATAAATGATGTTTATAAAGAGTTTTTCATACATTAAGAGCTCTTTTAAGAATCATGTTTTTCGACTTATCAGCTACATGGTCGACCCAAAGCATGGATAGGCCGCCTAACCGCACAAGGCCCAGAAAACTGAAGGCCCAAAAAATAGTTTTAGTGGTCTATGTAGAACTAGTGTTCTAAATACGTAAAGAAAAAGGCAGCCAAGGAAGGCCTACGCATGACATCTACAAAGGAGAGGTGTTTGGTTAAGAGTCTATCAAATATTTTTTTGGCTGATTTGACTAATATTTGACTTTATGACCAAATCAATGAACTAATAAGGTTAAATGGCTCTTCCATTTAGCCTTTTATTCCAAGAGCCAAATTAAAAAAAGCTATTGAACCCATCCTTTTCGAGTGGCTTTTTCTCATATTTTCATATATTCCTTTATTACCCACATCCCCTTCTTTTCCTTAGTTGCTCCACCGGTCAGTCCCGCACATCAATGAGAAAAGAAAAGCTTTAAAACCAAATTCCAGCCTAATTAACTTGCCGCCGAAGAGGAAAACAAGTTAAACAACCATGAAAAGAGCAAGCGTGCATGAAATAAAATATTCTTTTTTGGCTTGTTCTTCAATTTAGCTTTGTTTATGGCACGGAAAGTCCATTGAAGAAGGTACTAGAAGTTTTTTTTTAAATTTGAATATGGAAGTTTTGTTATAAAATATACTAATAATAACAATAATAATTGATGTAAAGTAAATTTTACATTTTTGAATCATAAAAACGGCTTAGGCAATTACATACTATACGAAGAATTAAATACATTAACTAAAAATTAATTAATGTTTTTAATAGTCATTTAACAAGTTTTTAGCCAATTACAAACAACTGTTTAATCAAAAACATGTTATGAATTGCTAATACTACCAGCTAATTAAAACCGTTAACAGAATCCACTGTTATCGATCAAGACAACCGTCAAACACCCTCATAGTGTCTTGCACACCTATTAGGCATGGAAATAGGCGGTCCACGAATTAGATGGCTTGTGAAATAGATCAGACTCACAAGCTGAGAGCCTGCAAATCACGCACACCTATTAATATACGTGGCTCACGGGAGAAAGTTCATTTATAGAACAATAGGTCAATAGTGCCCGGGAAATTTCTTGGGAAATTGAATAGGAGATTAATACACAAAAAAATATTTATGTTATTGCTCCCGAGAACTTCTTGGGACAGTCATCTCTTCCAAGCTTCCAGATTATCAACAAGTTGATGTTTGCTTCATATACCATTATACCTAGCATTATTTCATCTCATTATCATGAGTACCATATATAACTATCATTACTTTTATTATTCAACTACTTTTTCAAATCACAGCTTTTGTGTAATAGTTCAAATTATATTTGTCATATTTAGGACTTTGGAAATCTAATTTTCTTGGAGATGGGAAAAAATGTGATATTTTTGTAAGAAACTTCATCCGTCCCTGAAACAATTTCTCACTTTCCTTATTTGGATGTCCCTAAGTTTACTTCACATTTCCTTAAATGACAAGTTATCTACATCAAAACAGTGTCAAATAGTGCAAAACAGTGTCCACAGTGTTGAAACAGTGTCGAAGTAGTAAAATTTAACGACACTATTTTGACATAGTAAATTTAAGGAAATAATTTCAGGAAATAGTTGAAGGAAATAAACTTTTCAGGGGGTAAATTTTACTATCAGGGGGTAAATCTAATCACTATTTACTCCATCTGTCGAAATAGTGTCAAACATAAACTTTAACGGAATAGTTTAAGGAAATAAACTTATAGCGGGTAAATTTTACTATTTTGACATTATTTCGACATTGTGTGTAAGTCAAATCGGGAAGTTGTTTCGGGGACGGAGGAAGTAATATTTAACATTAGACTTTATACTCATAAAATCTCTCTAGTAAAAAAAAGTATAAAATCAAAATGTCTTTTCATGTCATGCATTATTGCTTCTTTTAGAACATCACTAATAATTCATTGAGAATATGGCAAATTATACCGTGGGATCGGCACACCATGCACATGGTGTTCCGATCCCAATACGACACCATATCTTTAAGTAAAAACAACGCTTGCAATATCTTCTTCTCCTTAGAACAGGTTTTAATTTATTCTTATGCGAATCCTAACTGCATTTTTCTTCTCCAGCACCCTCCTCACAGACTACTTCCCTCAGTTTTTTTATTCTTCGCACATTTTTTTTATCCGAACTGAAAGTTCGTAAGTTGAAATCAAGTAGTCATGCTTCCAGTAACTTTCCCTTCTCTGCTTCCCTTTCGTTCTTGTAGTTGCCAAGCTTTTTGAGTTTTTGATATGATCATCTTTCCTCTCTTTTACTTCTTTTCTTTTTTCAATTATCTTCATATCACTATTAAAATATTAAAAATGTGATTACAATTTCTATTTTTCTATAATATTTTTCTGTAAAATAATTTCTTATCTCTTTTATATATGTTTAGTGTTTTTTAAGACATTGAGTTTGTTTATTTCCATTTATACTTAATAAAGCAGGTGATTATATTTTCATTTGTGTGCGATTTACATTTTCATATATGCAACTTACATTCATACATGATTCCTGAAGTTCTATTTGATACTACATGGGGTTACATTTTCTTATGCGCGAGTTACATATTTGTATGCGCAAGTTACACATAATTATGCGTGAGTTACATCAAATTATTTGTGATTTTTTTAATTATCTTTATCTTTTAATAATTGAATTATAATTGAATTAACTTTTTTTCTTTACCAAATTATTACAAAATTTTATAAATCCACATAAAATAAGCATATTGTATTTCATAATCATACACTATTCTTTACTTTGCGTTCTTTTTTTTACATTTAAACACTTTTTTTAAAAATATTTTTTATGTTCGTACACTTTTTCCTATTATATAGTATTTCTTATCTCTTTGATTTTTTTTTTGTGTTTTAAAGACATTAAAATTGTTTATTTCGATTTAAATTTGAAAACAAAACATGAAGTTATATTTTTTATATGTGTGAGTTATGTTTATAGACAATTTTATAGTTAAATTTGATATTGTATGAAGTTGCATCATCTTATGCCCGAGTTACATCTTTTTGTGTGTGAGTTACATGTTTCAATGCACGAGTTATATTTGAGCTTGTTTCAACAAGTTACATTTTGTATACATCTAGTTAGATTTTTCATCAACGCGAATTACACTTTTTATAACACGAATTCTATCACGACATAAAACCTACTATTGAAACAAAACAATAATGTTTTGCAAAAAATAAATCCAAAAAAATTATTTTTTGGCCAAAAAGTGAATCTTTAAAAACATTTTTATAGCCTTAATATTAAAAAGAAAAATATATTCACTATTTAAGTTAACCTATGCAATTTAAACAAAAACAATCACATTTTTGAAAAATCAAAATGAATTTTTTGGCGAAACAATGATTTTTGGCAAAAAATAAAAGATAAAAAACATTTTTTGCAACCTTAATAATAAAAACAAAACATATTAACAATTTATGTCAAGTAATTGAGCAATTATACTCCTTTTTTCATTAAAATCAATGTTTTATTTCTTATCATTCGTATTAGACAAGTTACATTTCAACTTGTCTGCAGTTACATTTCTTATGAGCGTGACGTACATTTATTTACACGTGAGTTACACTGTTCTACTACTGGGACAATGAATGAAACAAAAAAAAGTTACTGTTCACGCGCGTGAACAGTAACATGCCTTTTTTTGTGGGAGCAGCATGCTCACCATGGGCCGCTCCCACGGTATACGAACTGTGAAAATATGCTCATCAAAGAGTATCTCTTTTAAAATGAAGTGCATTTTGTTAACAAATACTTTTATTTTAACTTCTTTTTTAATTAAAAATATGTAATTTGACATAAACTAATACTCCCTCCGTGCATAGAGAAGTTCTTGTTATGATTTACGATGTTTGATTGACGATAAAACAAATTAACTTATGTTCACAGTCTGATTATTTTTAGTAAATAAAATTTACATATTTAGAAACTACATTAAAATTGCTACAACGCCTCATAAAAATGTAAATTTGATAAAATTTAATACTTCCTCCGTCCCGCAATGAAGTTCCCGATTTGACCTACACACATATTTATGTAAGGTAGAGTTTTGTTTTGACTTCCAAGTTTACTCTTACTTTATGTCAAATCAAGTAAAAAGTGGGTAAAAAGTAAGGGTAGTTGTAATTTTTTTGATAAAAGCGGTCTGCTTTTATAGAAATAGGAACTTCTTTTCTCACATCCATAAAAGGAAAGTGAGATCTTATTTACGGGACGAAGGTAGTACGTAGTATATAAAGCAACAGATTAAAAACGATTTAAGTTGACCATGTGAATAGTGGACGTGAAGCTTTGAATGAGACGGAGGTAGTAGTAATTTATAATTAATATAATGTACTTCGTACAATATATTACTACGTGTAATATACTCCCTCCGTGTTTTTTTGTTTGCTACATTTCCTCTTTTGGATGTATTCGAAAATTTGTTACATTTTTCAGTTTGGTAATTTTTCCTTTAAAAATACTCAACTACTCTTACTTTTTTTACTTTTTATCTTCTCTTTCATATTTTTTCACCATCTCTGCTACTTTTTCTACACTATTAATTATCTCTACTATTTCACTCTCAAAAAATGTGTCAACGCCTATTGTAACAAACAAAAAAATATGGAGGAAGTAATTTGACAATATATTTTTACTTGTGTAAATAAAAGGCTCAATTTTACTCTTGCACATCGTCTCCACTTTGTCAGGACTAGCCTATGATCAACTATATCTATTAAGTTATGAGTTAAGTGTTTCACCAAACACGTAATTTTTGATTTCGTGTGATGATAAAAATAAGTAACTTTGAACTATTGAAGTTAATTTTTTGTTTGAATTGACTGAAGTTACCGTACATTAACACTTAACTATTTTTCTTATAATTTTTTAAAATATTCAAACTAAATATATTTCAGTTTTTTTTCATAATTTAGTTGGCCAATTCCACTCATTTACCATATAGTTTTCTTTTGTTTTGATTCATGTGAAACCAGGTGGATGAAAAAGCTTGTGAAGTTGATAGTGAGATTATTCGAAACGAGTTGATTAAGACGCACGCGCTTCCTTTCCTTCCTGCCAAAGCACTTTTGAGGTTCAAATCCGTGTCAAGCGAGTGGGACAAGCGGATCTCCAGTCCCCTCCTGGCCCACCACCAGAGCTTCTCCTTCCGCAAACTCTCCGGCTTCTTCTACCAAACCTTCAACGGCCTCCGATTCTTCTCCCTGGACGCCGCCGCCTACGGCGTCCCCCGCCCCCTCCTCGATTTCCTCCCCGCCGATAACCATCTGATGTGCTCCACCAACGGCCTACTCCTTTTCCGATGCTCCGACTCCTACTTTGTCTGCAATCCGGCGACCGAGGACCGGAATATGCTTCCCAACCCGCTGTACTACCACGGCACGAATCCGTCGGCCGTCCTCGCCTATGAACCTTCATTGAACAACATCGAGGCGTATTATCAGGTGATCTGTGCTTTCACAGCGTTTGACTCCCCGGTCGTATTTTTCGAGATCTACTCCTCGGAGACGAGATCCTGGAGGATTTCTTCCGCGATTTGCCCGGAATTGGAAGACTTGGACCATTACGGCGACGGTTTCTATCTGAACGGCTGTGCTTATTGGGAGATCTCGTCACCGTCTCCCTCGCCTTCGGCTCAATTGCTGGCTTTCGATGTACAGAGTGAGGAATGCGGGGTTCTATCCGTACCCTCCGACGGTGGGGTTTTCACCGTAGTTGGGGATGAGATCTGTTACGTGACGTCACAGAAGCATCTGGATGATGTTTTCGCGTTTGACATCTACGGCGGGCTGGAAATGGGCCTGAAACGGAGCGTTTATCTGAACCTCTCGGGATTCACAGAGTGTAAGGTGGTGCCGGCGGCCGGCGCGGATGCGGGAGATTGCTTGCTGATTCTGTGTGTGGCGGAGGATGGGAGGCAGGTTTTGCAGAAATATGGTTTGAGTGAGCAGAAGGTGAAAGTGTTGTGCAGTCCGTGTGAAATCGCTCTCCATGCCAGGCTCCTTCCCTACGTAAACAGTCTAGCCATTGTTACCTAGTAGTTGCAGCACTTGCAAGTTGTAAGCATTTTTTGTAGAGTTGCCAACGACTCTATGGTTATTACTCCTATCAACTAAACTAGATATTATCTCTACACTTGCATCTGTGTATGGGTGTGAGTTTGGCTAAGAACCCGTTTTGTAACACTATTTTCCGGCTTATCAGGTTTATCAGTCAACTTTTTCATCAAATACGTAAATTTTTATTTCGCGCGTTGAAATGTGTAATAATAACAAAAAAATAAGGTTGGACTTACTTTCCTGACTGTGTCAGCTGAAGTTATTGTAGAGAATCATTTTAGCTATAAACCACTTTTACAAACTGAGAATAATTTTTAGTCGAAAAAATCCAATTTTACTGACTATTAATGTCTATCACAGATAAATATGTTTCCATATAAGTTAAGTTTTTTTTATTTTTTGAGACATTTTCAAAATCCTTTGCATTAACAATTTTTTTTTATACTCCCTCCGTTCTTTTTTATTAGTCTTTCTTTCTTTTTGGGACGTTTTTTTTATTTGTCCCCTTTCCCTTTAAGAAAAGTTTTTGAGAAAATAGCTCCATTTTTATTACTTTTACCCCACTTACTTTTTATAAACTATTTTCTTTTTCCTACTTTATCATCACTTTACTCTTCTTAATACACTCTCTTTCCTACTTTATCATCATTTTACTCTTTTTAATATACCATCTTTCCTACTTTATCATTTACCCTACACACTTTATATTTAGCTTATTACTTTATTATTAAATCCCGTGTCAAACCCTAAGGGGACTAATAAAAAAGAACGGAGGGAGTATATGGTTAGGCGAATGATAAAAAGTGTCACTCGGAAAAATAAATAATATGGATAGTAAATGTCTGCACACATATAAAAAATTGACAATGCCAAAAAACAGTACTATTTGGGTATATTTTTTAGGAAAAATTGAAAATAATAATCCCAACTTTTGCTCGTCCGCTCACAATAATCTCAACTATTGATTATTTTTGTATAATCCCAACTATATGGACCTTCCGCCTTTATTGGCGGAAGGTCCCTAAAGTTGGGATTATTCTGATATAATCGATAGTTGAGATTATTATGAGCGAACCGCCAATAATTGAGATTATTACTATCAATTTTTCCTAATTTTTATAAACACTTTCAAATTCTATTGTATGGCACTGACAGTGTCAATAAATATTTGGCATTGGAAAAAAGATAACACAATGCGAGATATTTATTCTTTGTAAAAAATGTTAGTGGAAATAATTTTGACAATGTGTACAAAATGGTAATACCTTTTCCTAAATTGTTTTGCAAAGTCAATATTTTTTTGTCAACCATTGTTAAAGTTAAACCTTCCTTTTTGATAATTAATTCAGTTTTAATAATTAATATTTACATATTCAGAAATTACATTAAAATTTATAAAGTGGCAAAACCCAAATTAAAATTTATTTAAAAATTGATATCTTAATTAAGTGGATAAAATGAATCTATTTGATCTCAAAAAATCAATTTTGCAACTCAATTTGGAACGGAGGGAGTACAATTTTTTGGTCATTTCATAAATACTTATTGTCTGCGTCAAACTTTTATTGCTATAAAGTTGAATTTGTTCGACCGACATTTTTTAATCCGTAATGTAACTTTAGAGACAAAAATATCGGTGCGAATTTAAAAAAAAGTATTATTTTTGTACTTTGTCTTATAAATTTTTGTCTTATAATATCGGTGCTAAAAAGTATTATTTTTGTACTTTGTCTTATAATATCGGTGCGACACTCGGAGATAAATTTTTTCATCTTATGGTTTAACTTCCCTTTACTACAGTTCTCTGAAAGTGGTTTATCCTGCGTAAGCACTCAAATCTTCTATGGCGCCCGATGGTGACCGTCAGCTTCCACAAAACCAAAAAAGAAACAATAGAATGGGAGAGGGCTACAGAAATGGAAAAGGAAGAAGATGGAGATAAGGGAAGGCTAGCAATCAACCAGTGGACAACATGAAGACTGGGTAAAAACAATTTTTGACCTTATTATATAGGAAAAATTGAAAATAATAATCTCAACTATTGCCGGTCCGCTGAAAATAATCCCAACTATTGATTATTTTTGTATAATCCCAACTATATAGGCTATCCGCCAATAATGGTCCATGACCATATATTACCTCTATAAAAAGTGAATTTTAAATAGAAATTAAGCGTAAAAATTAAAAGTTGAGATTATTTATAAGGATTACTTGTTATATCTCATCTCATCCACTTTAGAAACTACAAGAATTTATTCATAGGGACCATTATTGGCGGAAGGTCCCTAAAGTTGGGATTATTGTGTAATAATCAATAGTTGAGATTATTATGAGCGGACCGCCAATAGTTGGAATTATTACTATCAATTTTTCCTATTATATATACTGTAGTATGTAATTCAATATGAACTGTTCCAGTTAGATTTTCATGGAGTTTGAATTTAATTTGTGATCTTTGGTCACTCTCTTACCCACCTGTAAATAAATAGTTTCTGTTAAGTTCATAATGAATGCATTTTTAAGATGTTCTTTTCTAAAATGACTACAATAGAATTCATTGGAAAAATGATATATACTAAAATTACTATGAATATAATGTCACAGTTAGTATAGTATAAAATTGAATATACTTATAGTCGTTAATAGTTACTGATATAATCACATTGTATTTGAAGTCACCTTTAATTCTATCATATAAAAGTCATTCTTTAATGGATCACAAGTAAAACTCCCTCCGATCCGTGCCGCTAAGATTGTCTCATTTTACCTTTTTGGTCCGTCCCACTAAGATTGTCTCATACTTTATTCTTACTTTATCAATTCAATATCAATCACATAAAGCACTTTTTATTAATTTGCGTGTCACTCCCTCTTGTCATGTTGTTAGTGGGACAGAGGGAGTAATTGATAATTTTCAAATGCATCTTTTATAGTTCTTATAAAATTTTAGTATCCTAAAATGTGGTGCAGATGATAGATGGGAAAAAGATTATTTTATATATATCGAGGAACTAGTAAAAGAGAAACAACGAACTCATTTCATCCTTACAAAAATAAGAGGTTTCTAGCTATAGGCCAGAGATATGAGAGATACAGGGCTAGAGAGGGCCTTCTTTGTAGGAGGTAACAGTTGGGAGAGACTCCAAGGTGTAGTATTTCTTGTAAGATGAAAAAAATGATCCTTGCAAGATGGGATATAACAAAAAACACAACTCATAAACAAACCATTTTGCCATTTTCTTTGGAGAAAATTTATTCTGAACATTTTTTTTTGTTTTTGACTTGTTTGTGTTTGATTTTATTATAAAAACAATAAGGTATTGTTGTTACATTTCAATTTTTATATATATCGAAAATTAATTTAACAAAAGAGGTCAAATACACTTGTGAACGGATGTGGTGGTGGTGAGGTTTTCACGAATATTAGAATTTTGTGTGGTTGAAAAAGGCGTCTATTTCTAATTGGCATTTTATTGGGTTGAGTTTGTGGAAGAATTTTGTTACCAAAAGTGGATTTTTTCACCCCCGGCCGCAGCAATTCAAAATTCTCGGCCGGAGAATTTAATTGAATATTCAAATGGATGCAAATGCGAGTCCCCCCTCAACACCGACGGAAACACCGCCATCTCCATCAGAAACACCACCACCCAAAGAGTCCCCGCCTCCATCACCACCACAATCTTCTCCTCCACCTCCATTATCTCCACCCCCATCCTCCCCTCCACCGCCTACCCCTCATTTTTCTTCCCCTCCTCCCCCTTCTTCCCCTCCTCCAACGCCTTTGGCTCCGCCGCCACAAACTCCGCCATCAGCACAACCTCCTCCCTCATCACCTACAATTACACCACCTCCACCAGGAGACCAATCCCCACCTCCCAATGACACACCTTCTCCACCGCCACCATCAACGACTCCACCACCGACACCATTTGTGCCAGCCGCTCCTCAAATTCCAAATGGAACAGGAAACCCTCCTCCCTCAATCATATTCTCTCCGCCTCCCCCATCTTTGTCGCCTCCTTCACCATCAACCCGACCTCCTGGCGGATCAAGAAGCTCTCCTCCATCAAATAATTCATCTTCATCCAGTGCGGCTATCATCGGTGGAGCCACTGTGGGTGCCGGAATTTTCATCATAGCTCTCGGTATCATTCTTTTCTTCTGCATGAGGAAGAGAAAGAAACAGCAACACTACGTTGACTATATGCATCCCACACGTCCTTATAGAGGTACTATAAAGATCTATATAATTAAATATTGTATATGTATACATTGTTGTTAATACGGAAATTGTCCTAAATAGGACTAATGAGTTCCTAAAAAGCACAAATAGGACTACTACTTTTAAAATTCCCTAAATAGGACTAAACATTGATTTTCTACCCTAAATACCCCTAAGAGTATTAATTTATAAAGAAATGCTTTAATTCATAATAAAATCATAAAAAACGTAAAAAATATTTAAAAAACGTAAAAAAATTATAAAAAATTTATAAACCATTTATAAAATAAAAAATTTAATTTTTTATTTTTTTTAATTTTTTAAAAAAATAAAAAAAAAATAGTAAAAATCCATAAAAAATGAAAAAAATTATGGATACCTTTCCCACCGCCTCCCAGCACCACCACCTCCGATTGGTGAAATTTCTTCCACTTTTGGTAAAAAAATGTCATATTTTTCTGAAAATGCCAAAAAGATGGCATAATTACTCTTCAATATGCCAACATTTTCATTAAATATGCCATCATTATGACATTATTTAAAATGTTGGCATATTTTTCTCCGGTGATGGGAGCTGGTGGTGCTGGGGGGTGGCAGGGGTGGTAATGTTTTTTTTTTAATTTTATGATTTTTTTTATTTTTATTTTATTTTTTTTATTTTTTTTTAAAAAATATTTTTTTTTTATTTTTTTAAAATTTTTTTTTATTAATTTTCTATTATTTGTTTTTACGATTTTTAGTATTTTTTTCGATTTTTATTAATTTTTTTATGATTTTATTATTAATTAAAACATTTCATAAGTTACAAAGGTATATTTGTCCAAACACACATAAATAGTCCTATTAAGGGAATTTAAAAAATGTAGTCCTATTTGTGCAATTTTGCCACTTTTTAGTCCTATTTAGGGAATTGACTCTTGTTAATATGCCAAGAATCTATCTCATCACACATTGCTCCTGTATTCTGTAATTTGAAACCTAACCTATAAATAAAATATGTTCTCCTTGTGCCTATTGAT